CATGTTAAGTCACCAGAGATAGTAACACCCAAAAGTTTAGCATCTTTAACTAATTTTATGCACTCCTCTCCTATGACTACTGGAGGAAAGTCACAATCTGATGTAAAACTAATGCGGAGCTCCTTGCATTTGTCTGTGTTTAACTTGACTCTTTTTCTTATTGACCAATTTACTACCTCATTTACAATACCTTGAGCCTCGCTATGCTGTCCTTTCTTTATTACCTCTGATGTTGTGGTGTCGTCTACATATTTCCAAATAGAAGCATTACTTACGGTTAGATCATTTATCATGATCAAAAAAAGCCAAGGGCCTAATCTTGTCCCTTGCGGAACGCCCGAAGGTACTGTGCCCCATTCGGATACACAGCCTTCAGAGAGTTTGATTCTCTGTGAGCGGGCTGATAGGAAATCTATTATCCAATTAATGACGCTAGGCGCGATGTCAAGCGCGCATAATTTCATTAATAAGATACTACGGTCAATTAGATCAAATGCTTTCTTGTAATCAAACAGGAGTGTCCTGATAGTCGCACCGTTCCCATCAGTCCCTTGAGACCACTCGTGGAGCATCTCCAACAGGGCAAAAGTTGTCGAAGACTTCGGTATCGCACCAAACTGGCTAGGGTCCAGGGAGCGCAGTACAGCTGGCTTTACGTGCTCAGTGACGACAAAGTCCTCTGCGACCTTAGAGATACTCGGTGTTAACGATATAGGCCTCAGATCTTTCTTGATCTCCTTAACAGGCTTGGTTTTGGGTAAAGGAGTGACATCTGCCAATTTCCATGGACTCGGTAGCTGCTGTTCCTTAAAAGAGGCATTTAGAATGATTGAGACAGGATAGGCGAGAAATTCCGCATACTCCCTTAGTATAATCCAATTAGGAATACCGTCCGGACCGCCTGCTTTGGCTGCATTGAGATGAGAAAGTCTCTTGTATACGTCATACTCCGTAACCACTAGATACTTTAGAGACTGATCTTCTAGAGGGAGCTTGGGAAACTCGTTAGACAGGCGGTACTCTTCAAGAGGCTCTAACAAGGCGTGGTTGATAAGGTCAGCAATCTTGCGCATGGACGACCCCTCCAACTCATCGATGTCGAGGAGAGAGATCAGGTTGCTCTAGGAGGATTGCCGCGCTCCACTGAGTCTCTATATGAAATATGAAAGAGTTCTCCTCTATTCTAACGACGGACTAAGCTTTTCGAGCCCGAGTTTGTCTTTTTTTTTAAAGGTAATTCCCTTGTTTTGCACTGCGCACCCTCTACTGCGCATAACATTGCGACATCCAAGATGGCGACGGTTCTTCCCACTAGCGCGAAAAGAACAAACAAGGGCCGCTTTTGAAGAGCTAAAGCTTGTATTCGCAATAATAATGCCGCAGATCGGCTGACGGCTGCCTGGTTTGCTATCGAAAAACAAGAAAATGAAAGAAATGTGCGCGATCCCAAAGTCTGCAGTGGTTTTTCACTTCGCGGTCGTCGAGTTGTGGAATTATTAAAATGTCCTGGCTGAGGCTTTAGATTATGGGGGCTGCGAAGCCTGTGGGACAGCTCTACGGCTCTCCAACTGCATTAACGAGCCGGTGTCTGGCCTGGGATCGCTACCGTACATATGTTGTTCAAACTCCAAGAGTGGAGATACGAATATTTCTGGAACAAATAAGACCCACCGTAGCACTAGAACCACTCGAGGAAGACCAGTCTTTGATGTAAACACGAAGTTTGCTGCTGAATTCACATTTTGCTGTCTATAGAAACCAAACAAGCGAACATATGAAGAATAGAAATCAGCAGTCTTTTCTTCAAGTTTCTTTGTCAAGCATTATTGTGTAATTCACATTTTGCTGTCTATAGAAACAAAACAAGCGAACATATGAAGAATAGAAATCAGCAGTCTTTTCTTCAAGTTTCTTTGTCAAGCATTATTGTGCGAAAGCAAAAAAAGCGAACCCTAGCTCACGGGAATTAAACAGAACGACGACGCTACAAAAATATAGTCCAAAAAAAAACATTCATAACTCCAAAATCTCATCAAATCTTGACTTACCTCATTCCTCAGTATTTAATGTATCCTTTTCAAGTTTGAATTGCTGTGTTGGCGATATCAAACACATAAAAACAACCTAAAACAAGCTTGATCTCGAGTGCATACTTCGAACACGATGGGCTTTATTTTGTTTCTCGCCCCAATCCCCGCCGCGCAAATTATCCATCGTGACTGCGATCTCGAAACCATTTCCACCTTTCACAGCAGTTTGTGAGGAAACAAGCACGGTGACCCCCGATTTTTTTCCCTGGTATTTGCTGAGAACATTCTAATAAAAAACATATTTGAAGAAGAAAAAAAGTTTGATAGTAGAACATAATTTTTTGGGGGAAAATAGTTTCGTATTTGGTGTATTTGGTCAAGGCGAGGACTTCAAGCTAATCACGGAACTGTCCGAAAAAGTGTAATATCCCCACAACCAGGCAATCAAAAACGAATTAAACGCAGCAACTCTGTTTATTTGAATAAATGAAGCTTTATGTTCAAGATAAAATTTTGTGTGTTTCAAGTGACAAAGACTTAATTCTGTAAGAAGGGGATTCGAATGTTTAACGCGCAACCAGTAAAAATACCCCAGTTTAAGAGACTGCTGACGCGTAAACAAGCCCGGTGACCCCATCTTTTTATTGCATTTTTTTAATGTTCATATCATGAATGTTGATTGTGCCAAGTTTCAAAAAAAGTTTGATAGTAGAACAATTTCAAGGGAATTACCTTAAGGTTTAAGATTGGATTATAGTTATTATAAGCGAAATAGGTCATCGATTGCTTTCCTATGTCTCTCCTCAAAGAAAATATACACCTTACGGTAAAGATTTCTATCAGATATTGTGAGGCTATATAAATCACTGCATAAATGTAAAGGCTACACGTAGCTGTTCGTCTGGGCCCGTTTAAAAAGAAAAATGGGGAAAGAAAAGATAATATAATAAGCTTACTGGAACACAAAAGTCTCTAAGTCGGCCAAATTTTCCTTTTAGGTCTTCCCTTTAAGACAGAAATACGGACCCTCGAAATCGTAACCTGAAAATTGCTGCTACTGAAGAGACCTACAATTTCAAAATTTTTTTCAGTTCAGGTTTGTTTGCGAGAGATATTTTTTTCTTAATCATTGAGCCCCTCCCTCTAAAGGTGAACTGATGCCGAAGGCCCCTTATTTCTGTTTTTTTTTTGGTTTGGAGTTCATGTCATTAGTGTAAATTTGATTGCTTTTATCATAAGTGTAGAAACGAAGGATTCGCTTTTTGCCATGGCTAAATCTATATGTTAGCCACATTGGATTCTGCAATGCTGGATCGTACTAGTCTACGTGAATCATCCTCTGATCTGACGGGTCACTCGTGAGTCGGTTCAAACCCTGGGCAAGCCAAATTATTCTTTCTTCCTCAAATAAATTAGAGAATAATTCAGTAAACTCGAAGGGATCTCGAGATATCTTGAGCTAATTCCGCTCTCACTTTGGGACATTCGGAAGCAACTTTGGGACATTCTTGAGCATGGCGAATCCCTTACTTGGCGCTCCGCCCAAGTAAAAAGTTGCGAATTAACAGATATGAACGGGGCCTTATTATTACAAAAACACAAAACAATTTAAAAAATAAGAAGGATCAATTAGAATAACATTTTTCTTAAGACACAAGGAATCAAGTTAAAAAACACTCAGTGACTTTAAAGGAATCTATCAACAAAATCCACAAAGGCAAATTAGCTCTCTGTAACACTACGCACAATGTCTTACTTATGTTATACAGTTAGCACTAAAAGATGAACAACTTTATTGCTGAGTGCGCGGTGAGATTAGAGAACTTCAATTCATCAAACTTTACTTGTAATTGTCCCCCTTTTTTCGAAAAAAATCTTAACGAAGCAAAATACAACATCCACGAAAAACTCTCAATTTTCCGTTTTGAGGAGAAATAAAGCCATGAACTCCAGTACTTCTAACCATCTATAGATCTTTAGACTTGCCATCACATTCGCACGCGAAGTTTGCCACTCGGGAAGAGAGATGAGGAAAAATATGACAATCGTCTTATTCTTCTCATTGGCTGCGGTCACATCTGGGCTACTGACTATAGTTTAGACGGGGATAACTATAGTTAGCTATTTCGGTAATGTGACCGCTTCTCTGTTTGCTCTAACTATAGTTAGAAAATTTACGCCTCGGTGATCCAAAACAATACAGACTAACTATAGTTATACCCAAGCAGCGTTCGTGGGTTAGTTTTAAGTTTACAACCAAACAACCAATCAGAATGTGACACTTCTTTTCGCACGTGCGAGATGAGCATATATAAATATGCAAAATAAAAATCAAGCGTGAAGCGAGGGGGATACCAAAAACAACAAACAGAAAATGTACATAGGCTAGTTAGAAATAATTGTTGTTAACTGCGTGGTGTGACCGCAATGTCGACCGAAAGCACTAACTACAGTTAGGTATGACATCACATAACTTGACACTAACTTAAGTTAAACTTTAGTTACGTCGTAAATGTGACCGCAGCCAATTATCCCCAACAGCAAACTGCCCGTGCGAATGTGATAGCAAGTCTAAAAAGGTTGAATAAAGGGTTTATCTTAAACGTATTTATGCCTACAAGAAAATGAATAACATTTTCCTAGAGTTCCACTATTCTTTATTAAGGATGCCAAAAACATAGAAATCGGGTCAATCGTTCCTGCTGAGAAACGTGAATCAAAAACGTATTAACCAACGCGCACATAAATAGATTCGGGCCACCCTAACAACATATTTTTTACGAAGTCAGTGTCATTCATTGATTGACAGTAGAAATTGTGTCTAAAGGTATAAAGCAATTCTTATGGTAATTTCTATCCCGTCGAAATGAACAGATGGCGTTACAGATACTTCGTGCAACCTTTCTAGGCTGTTCCTTTGTTCCAAACCAGCTGTCTTTTGGTGATCGTCGGTCAAACTTGCGTTGGACGTTACCAATCTTGCACTTCGGGGAATTCGTGAGAAAAAATTCGAAGCGTTATGGCATCCTTGAATGCCGCCCAACAGTACAATTTTTTCGTGAGAGACATACTCCTCCCCATCATCCCGCATTCCATTATTAAATGAAACAGTTGTGGTTTACCGCTGAATTTAAGGCTGACATGGCGGCTTCGATCATAAAGTAACATGACAGCTTTTTCTGGGTCTTGCGCATCACTGAGAAACCCTCTCATATCTATTACGCCTGAAAACTGATTTGCTTCAAAGGTTTGTATTTTCACAATAAAGCGACTTCCATCTCTTGGAGGAGGAGGAAAATAATCTGGACCACTTGGTTTCAAACTAGGGTGGGTTTTCCTGAAACTAATACCAGGAATAGACTCTCGAAAAGTCACCTCGATAGTGTTCCTTTGTCCAGTAGCTGTGCACGTGTACTGGTGCTTTTGCCAGTGTAGCGTTTGACATTTTTTGCCACAATACGCTGCCGTCATACATCTTTTGCAGAATTTCAAGGTAGAGTCACGTTGAAAGCAAAAGACGCAGTGCATCTTAATGGAAGCCTTTAACCGTTTATCCCCATAGTCATTTTGGACACAATGATTGGAACTTGGACTAAACTCTGCCAATACCTTATTTGGAAAAGAAACCTTCCGCGATAAAAAAATTCCTTCAGCGTCTGGTGGTATTTCCGTAAAAAACCTTTGTAGTTCCTTTGGGTATGAATCACCTTCGGACGGCCGAAGACCTTCGTAAAATGCTGGCCCGCAATTGTCGTGGATAAAGTTGTTTATCACGACACAAGGTGGTTTTCCTGGACTTTGGTAGCCGACCCTAATACCACCCATCTTGTTGTTACATATCTCATTGTCTTTATAAACACCTCCGGAGTTGTTGTGCACATAAACACCCCACCAAAGGTTTTCGAAAACGGTATTGGCTTCAAAAAGAATGCTATTAATGTTAAAGGTCGCGCGGACACCAAATGTACCATTGTGATAAATCTTGTTTCGACGCATAATGACGTTGGTAAATTCATGTGGAAACCATGGACAGCCACCTACAACAATGCCTTCGTATTTGTTGTCAAAAATCTCGCAATCTGTGATTACAGCGCCCTTTGCGGGAATGCCCATTATACCTTCATCGATCCAAATTCCTCTAACATTGCCGTAGATGCGACATTCATGAACGAAGAGACGCCCCTCCTTAAACACTCTTATTCCATAGGCAAACGCTTTGTCTTTTCTTCCGTTTCCACTGATCTCACATTTTACCAGTGTAGCTGACGAGTTAGGTCCTTGCACGAATATTCCCGTTCCTCTACTGTCTCTGACATTGCATTCCAAGAAAGTTGCAGAGCCATTAGAAACCGATAACACCATTGCTTGTGATGTAAGGTTTCGAAAACTACACTTGTGGAATTCCACACTTGCATCTGCGTTAACCGTAATGGTTATCTTTACAGAAAAGACGATGTTTTGGAAACAGCACTTTCCGCACAAACGGGGTTCATTGCAGATTAAAGTAACATCTGCATTATTCTCAAGAGCAGCTATTGTGGTGTCCCTAATGGCACTGATGTCCCTTAAAGTGTACTGTCCAGGTCGCAAAAGGATAATTCTCCCCTGCAGACATTTGTTCTGGTTCGTTGTTAAGGAGCGTTGCAGAGTAAGAGAAGAGTCAACAACCTCCCACTTACCATCCAAGTCTTTAAACGTGTCTGCAAATGTCTTGTAATGACGGCAACAGGGGGCGTTGTGGTAGAACGCAATGGCTGCAGAACATAAAGAGGAAGAAAGCAGTCCAAGCCCATTGAGCGCCAAAGCTTTTCTTGTGTATCCTTTCCAGCAGGAGGGTAGAATCTTGATATACTCCTCAGAATCTTGAAGACATCTTTGAAAGTTTCCTAGTTTAAGATAAGCAGTTGCCCGATTATTTAGAAGGCGCGGATCTGGCCGCTTTCCTCTCCCAGTTGCTTCCAGAGCTTCTGTGTATGCTTCGGCGGCTTCTTTGAAACAGCCTGTTTTAAATAGCGCGTTCCCTTGTAAACGAAGTTGATCTATAGATTCGTTTTGTTCACTACCCTCTGCTGCCAGCTTTGCGCCCTCAATCGGTGGTCCAGATGAATACAAAACAGTTTTTTGAATCACTTGAGGAAGAGGAACAGTAAGTGGAAATAGTTCCGTCAAGTCGTTGCCAGAAATTGGCTTCTTAGCACTAGGACAAGAATCAAAAACACTAAAGGCAAATTGTTCGCTTTCCTTGGCCTCCGCCTGATGTCCATGAGCACTTAAATGAACGGCATTTTCATAAATGACACGAGACGTCTCATGCGTGAAAACGGCTGCTTTGACTTCTCTTTCGATTTCCTGCTGATAAAGCAATGTTTTAACATGGTGCTGCAGCTCAGAAGCATGCGCTGTTAGAATGGACCACAAAAAGAATCGAGATTTGTTTGTTAAGAACGCAGACGGTTGTTCTTGTTCACTTGACGTGATATAAAAAAGCACCTCGTCCGGTGAAGGGCAATCTTTAAAGGAATGATAAAGAAGTTTTACCGCTGTGAGCATCGATGTGACAGTTTCTTGAATACTCATTTTGTTTCGCATGACTTCCTGCACCAGACGGTGTAATCCAAGGGACTTGCAGCTCTTTCTTTGAAAAAGTGAAAACTTGGTCAAAATGTCTACGATCTGATTTTTCATTAAAGGAAAGTTACAAATTTTATCAGTTGAGAGCACCTCAAAGTTAATTAAATCTTCCTGAATTTCATTGGGGGCAAAAAATGCTGAGGCTTGTAAAAATCTGGATGCTAATTCTCCCTGCGGTGATTTTTTAACGTACTCAAAGTTTAAAAGCCACGTGGTGTGCACTGCCAAGCGGCTTTTAGACTCATACTCCCAGGAAGGTTTTTCACGCGGGTGCTCACTTAACAGTTGTAGTCGCTGAATTTTGTACGCTTCAAGATAATCCGCGATTGAGCACTGAAGGGCTTTGATGTGTGCACCAGCTTGTTCTAACGCAAGAGGAAGACAGCCAAGCTCACGCACCAGCTCATCTAACGCCACCTCCTTTCCCGTAGTGGCGGCGCCACAGCGGGCAAGAAGAAAACTCTTGGCTTCCTCATCTGAGAAGGAGAAAACCTCAACACAGCAAGATGGATCAAGATCCACCGAACTATACACTTCCTTTGATTCACGTCTTGTTGTAAGTAGGATGTGGCCGCGTGCTTGCCTTTTCCATCGACCAGACAGGATGATGTGCATTTGTTCAGAGAGGTTTAGTTGGTCGACATCATCAAGAACCATTAACCATGGTTTCTCTTGCTTGGAGATCCTCGTCAGAAGTTTGGACAACGTGAAATCAAATGAACTTGCTTCAATGCCTAAACGCAAAGCCAGGTCATTCACAGAATTTTCAAACTTTCTGTCGTCCTCCATGGAGATCCAAAACACACCTCCTTCGTATTCATCCTTACGCTTCCAAGCAAAGTGACTGGCTAAAGTGCTCTTTCCACATCCTCCGAGACCAAAAATGGCTGCCATCTTTAATTCTTTGCGTTCGTTCAGTGGAAGGCACTTTTCAAGAATATCACTTTCTTTTTTTCTTCCCGTAAACCACTTTGTTTGTTCTGGAGCATCAAAGACAGTATCATTCAACTCTCCTGAGTGTGATAAGCTTTTCACAGTTGTTGTTAACAAATCTAAATCTTGCTGCATAAACGCGCTTTTAGCCTCCAAACGTTTACAAAGGTTTTGCAGATTTTGCGATGTTTTCCAGCACATCTCCACACCTTCTATAATCATTTCCTGCTTTTGTTTTAGATCTTTGCAAGTGATTTCTGTATCAAATTGCTGATCTTGAAGGGCCACAACGGCTCTGTCAAACTCACACTTAAGTAGATTAAGGGTTGCGCTTATAAGGTTATCTTGCTCCTTATGATTATTCAAGGACTCAGAAAGTTGGTGAACTTCCTTGTGTATGAGTTGAAGAAGTGTGTCATCAAGTGGCTTGCCAAGACAAATGTCCTGTCCTGTGAGAAAAGATTGCAGGCAAGTCATTACGTGATACTTCAAATACGGCACGCTAAAACCTCTCAGAGCTAGTCATGCAGCTAGCAGCTGCTTACCTGCCTGTTTTTGCTTTATTTTATTGTATATTTATTTGAGAGCTAAAACAATTTTAACACTTTTCAGACGAGCGTGGTGGTTGGGGGAGGGGGGGAGGGGGGGTCTTGGGAAACGACCTTCACCAAAATTTTTTTACTATTATTTCTAGATTGGCTAATAACATTACTACTTTACCCAAATCTACCATTAGCTTTCAAATCTGGTAACGTGATATTGGCTTTTAGGTATTAACTAGAGAAAAAAGGGAATTATAACATAGCGCGAGTCCTATATAAAGCGCGAGTCTATATAAAACCCACGGCCGTGCGTATATAAGATGACGTGTTCAGTTGTGTCTACGAAACTTGGATTTCCGTCTCTTAATTTCATTTAAACAAAGTTTCCAATAGTCGACGGCAGGAACTTTTGAAGAAGTTTCAAGCATTGTTTGGATTTTGAGCTTCTATCCACTCAAACCAAGAAGAGGTTAAATGTTTCGCAAATAACCAGAGCTCGAGTTTTAAACGTTCTGGCTCAGAGACTGCCATTCAGCTCGAAAACTTATATGAACTTGTTTAATGTTTTTTTATGTTATTGAAAACAAATAGTTGCACAGTGATGGCGAAAAATTATGCACTTCTGTTATAACCGAACAATCCTAGGCGGATAATTTCTCTTAAAATAACAAGACAAATTATTACAAAACAGCTTTCACTCGTAAAGAGTCAGTTCTCTGTATTCACGCTGTGATTAATGAGAAAGATTTAGTGTGTTCGCGGTGCATCAAGGAGGAAAGGAAGGAAGAACACGAAGTACTTTTCAGCCTCCTTCCCAAGCGCCTTTGCGAGCGCCAATTTTCCTTCCCACGTTCCTTTGCGAGAATAAATAAGTGGTGACTGGGTGAGAGTTTGATAAAAGAATTACTGCAGGCTTTTAGTCATACAATATGGCAAAAAAAACCTTACTGAATGGCTTTGCATTATTGGTTTAATGTAGCATTAATAAATTATTTTTCGGTTTATTACATAACCCCTGATTCTGGCTATTATTCATTTATTATTTTTGTTCACATAACCACTGATATGTCGATGGCAGGGGCGAACTGGAAAATCAATGAAAGGCTATGAAATAAGTCAGCGCAGCCAATATTGTACCTTGTGTTCTCCACAATCTAAGCTCACCCAAAATCCGCGCTTCATCTGTGGGAGGAATTCCCATGTTTGTTACCAGAGCCTCCATGAGGTCAAAGCAAGTGTCAAATTGTCCCATTGTCCAAATTGCGAAGTCGCAATGGGCCCACTCGTTACGAACTTTTGACCTTACGTCTTCAGCAATCGATTTTACCGACGCGAATGGCAAAGCTCCACAGAGAACTGTAAGGGCAGCTGAAGCGTCAAAGGAACTGTCAAACGCATTAAACTGTGCCATGAAAGGTTTCATAAACAGCTTGGCCAAAGATACCTCATCTTTTACACAGTAGTCGTAGTGACTACGGTACGGGGCATTGCTGTTATTGTTGATACTCTCATAGTTTAAGTTCACCGGGGATAGTGGAATATTCTTCATGAAGGTTGTGTACGTTTGTTTGTCCAGTCCAAAGTTCCTCACCAAATGCTGGTAGAATGGAGTCATTTCAGCTCTGATCTTATCTCTGAGGCATGGAGTGAGGACATGGTGAAGAGCAATGCCTACCATTAGCCACCGGCGCTGCTCCTGAGAGCTTCCTGATGAGGGCGACGCCATTCAGGAAAGCTGTTGGCACTTTTATCGGCTTTAGATGGTTAATTTTCTACAAAATGTATAAAAAGGTATAATTGAGTCCATCAACGGGAACATTAGGGACACATAAGTTTTTTAGCTACGCACGTCGACCGGAAAAGGACTTTTTGTATTCTTGGGACTTGATTTTGACCACATTTTCGGGAAAATCGTCTATATGAGACTTAAGAGTCACATTTAGCAATACAAATTTGGTAGCTTCAAGGCATATAACAAGGGAATGCCACTCATTCCGATTAAGGTGGGTCGCTCAAAAACGCCTTCGCTTAAGGCCGCGGGGGACACCTATCTACGATTAAGTTCATAAACCAATGCAAAATTTTGCTTGTGCTAAATCTTTTACAACGCTTATATCTCGGCTGTTTTAGAGGCGATTTCGATAACATTTTACAGAGACATTAAGCAATGATAGACGTTTAGGAAGATTGATTTTTATTTGGTAGATCGCCCTTTACAGCGATGCTTTATTGAGCCACAGTTGTACAAAATTTGGGAAATCGTGATTTTTTGTCTAAGTTTGCGTAAAGAATAGAGGACAGCACTCTGTGATTCTATTAATAAATGATCGGTCAAAACCTATAGTGAGTCATTTATTGAGTATATTTTGCAATTTTAAAGTTTGCCAGCAAGATGTAATCGTTAAAATGAGTAATATCTGTCATCCCAGAAATTAACGCCTTATATCTTTTTATAAAAGCGTTCTTATTCGATTTCCTTTTAATACATAACACACTACAGTCTACCAAGTTTACCCCTCAGTACTGCCAGTTCGTAAAGTTTTGTATCTGCGCTGAATTCTTGGATAAAATATTGTCGGAAAAGTCAAATTCACGAGTTCCAAGCAAGATATGTAATTATAGCCCGCACACAGACGTTGTTTTATTTTTCTTTTTGTTCTTTTCGAAAACATCGGCGAGCTCGCGAGCGCGGAGCGCGAGAAAGAATTCCCCCACCACTACCCCCTTCTGCTGGCGGTCAATAAATCCCCTGCGGTTTAGTTTTATCATCCGCGCTCGACGGACCTCGAAGAGAAAATACAGGGTCTGTGAGCAGGCTAATGTAATTATGGTTAATTTCAGTCCACACTTTAATTTTGTTTATAAGCTGCGAAATTTGGTTGAAATTTCTGAACACGTGCACGTGAACATCGTTTATCCAGTTATGAATATCTCGTAAACCAGTCGATATCAGTCATTGTACGTCGTGGATACGTTTGAAATAAGGACTTCGACTTATTTGGTATTACTTCTGTAAAATGCAACAAACTGATTGTCTCAAACTTATTTTTGATATATTTACTAATCATGCCCGAGATCCGGGCCGAAGTCAGATGCAATATAAAAGAATCCCTTTATCTCTATTTTGCTAATATTTTGAAGTTAATGGTTACAATCGCGTCGATTTCCTCTCGTAAAATACTACTACGTCGAAATTCGTCTTCAAGAAGATCCCCGTTGATCGCTAAGAATAACTAGAAGCTCAAATCGAAGTCTAACTCGAACTTCAACTCGAAGATCCTCAAAGTGTATTAAACTCGAAGTCCAACTCGAAGTCCATAATTAATTAATTAAAATAGTTGGACAAGCGGTATTATGTATGACACGAGATAAAAGTCGTAAGAGCCTACCGGCGCTTTTTTTCACATAGCAGGCGTCCTTTCCCTTCTCTCCCCAATCCCTTGTGGGAATCGTGAAACCTCGAGTTGGACATCGAGTTCGAGTTTGAGTTTGAGTTTGAGTAAGAATTCGAGTTGGAATTTTTTTCCATTTTTGTTTTTTGTTTGTTTTATTATGTTTTTCTCCACCAGAAAAAAAAATCACAACAAAAAAAACTTCTGCGCATCGAGAAAAAACGGTTAAAGAATGGTTTATTTCAATAAGGTATATATTGGAAACTTATCTTGACGCATTGTGTCGCGAAGTATCGTGGAATGCTGAAGGCGGTTCTAAAAAAATCGGTCATTTTCATGGCTCATGTTTCACTCCGAAAGTGACGCAGTTTCGAATAGACTTTGTGATTGTTTTGTCGACGGACTCGATTAACAACTGTATTCGAGAATGGATAAGAAGAGAACTTATGCTGATGTCGTTTCTAGAAGTGGCGAGTTCATCGTAAGGGGTTTTATCTTCCTTTTTTGGTGATTTGGAAATTTGTTTGTGAATGGTGACCGGCTTATTCTAAAATTCAGCCTTTTGATGATGTGCTTTCTGGCAGTCTGGCGATTACTAAAACCAATTGTCACCCTTTTGGTCGGAATCGGCTCACGGAAAAGCCATTCTTTTGAAACGATACGGCATTCAGAGCGTTCAAGCTGTATCTTGAAGTATGTTGACAGGGGCACCCAACGACAATATTCGGAAAATATCTGTTCGGAAGACGATTTGAGATCTAGAAGTTTCTGAACATTTTTTGCAAAATTTCTTGCTAGTCTGCCTCTCCTAGGATTTTCGAACATCTAAAAAAAGGTATAATTGAACATTTTTAACGGATTTTTGCCCTAAAAAGGTCACCTACAATTTTCGGGAGCCTTTTTTCTGGCTGAAGTTTTCGAAAAGGCAAGTTTTGATCCCTATAATTTTCGAATCATTAGACTTCCAGCTAGGAAATCCGAACAGATGAAAAATTTTTAGGGGATAAAAATATTCCTATATCTACCGTTTAAATACTAAAATACGTTTAACAATGCTATGTTTAAGTGGTTTTGAATTATATTCTCGTTGGGTGCCCCTGATGTTGAAGACTTTATGCTATTAAAGTAACAGCGGCCGCTTGGAATCGTTGAGTAATGATGACGTAAAACAGAAAATCCCGAAGGGGCCACTTAGGTAGATTTTGTGACATTTAGGGAAAGTTCATTTAATATGACAAGGGGGGGGATGAAGATATTGAGGGGGGGCTCCGAAAATTTTTAGACACCCGAAGAGGGGGCTCTGAAAAAATTGTTGCGCTAGGAGGCGGGGCTCCGAAAATTTGTATACTTCAAAACCAACACATGACATCATCATACAGATCGGATGGTTTTCAACTCAACAATTTAATGACCTGTGCAACTCAGCTATATCACGTGGTTTACAGATATAACAAATTCCCCCCCCCCCCCCCTTGTCATATTAAATGAACTTTCCCTTATTGCACAGTCATCGATACTCTTTTGCGTTACGTGTTATCAGTGACATTCTGTGGGGCAGCTGTTTTGAAAGTAATGCACCAAAAGACACTCGTTAAGCGAAGATGAAATTATAAGGTGCGTATACCTGTGTATACACTTGGAGAGTTTGCCAGACTCGAGATCACAAATCTTTGATTGGAAATAATTTGCCAGACACTCTTTCTCTCTTTTTGGGAGGGTAAGACTCCGACCACAAACAAGCAAGGCGAGTGAATCAACGGCTAGCTTATCACTAGCAAAACATTCCAACTTCCAACTGAATAAGTGTTGGAACCTTGCGTTTTCTGTTTTTATCTCACCTATTATATAGAATATGTGTGAAAATCTTCATTATGAATCGGTATATTTCAAAGAGCTACACAACGACCAAGAATACTATTGACCGAAAATATACACAGCGGGCGTAGCGGTAGTGTCAACTATTACATATAACTGTGTAGCGATTTCCGTCACGCGTGTCCAAATAAAATTTTTAAAAAAAGCAAAATAATAAGTGTCGGCGATCTCGAAGATTTATCCATAAACGTGGGAAATAGCGAATTAATGGACGAATATTTTCACAGATGTGTCAGGCGAGTATACTTAATTAGTACCTACTAGACCTTTAGACGATAAATTATTATTTTTTTGTTTGTAATTCGAAGTCTAACTCAAACTCGAACTCGAATTCCAACTCGAACATATACGACTCCCTCAATATTCGTATCTTAAGACTGCTATGTAAACTCACAAAACATCCGAGAACTAGTTATTTGCAGAACTAAGCTATCTTCTCCCAAGAAGACGTAAGTAATTTGAAAGGCGGATTGAAGCGCCCAAACTTCTTCGTCAGCTAAAACGAGGAACATTCTTTTTATTACAAAGACGAGATAAACCGGCGACTGAGTTGACAAAAAATTGTTTTGTAAATAATGTACAACATTATTCAACTTCTGAAAGAAAAAGAGCTGTCGCAAGTAACGATAGATTAAAGTAGCTGTCGAATTTCTTCCCGCAGCGGTATTATTCACCACTTCCGGGATTCGATAAATTACTCCAAAAATATAGCTTCATTTTCACCCAATACTATTGAAGTCATCAAATGTAAACTTACCAATTGCTGTATGAAGATTTTGCTTATATTTGTGATATTCTCGAGAGCATACGACGTAAAGCCATCAAGACTCCATGGAATCGAAATCGGCGGTGCGTTTGGCTTGAACATATTCTTGTCTAAGATCCGGGATATTGGACAAGGCGGTAATTACCATAATATTCTTTAAATTATCGATTGGTTGGTGCTTCATGTAAACCTCGCTGTCGCATCATCTTTTGTTCCAGTTGCACAAACTGAATGTGCAGGGATCTAAATTTACGAAAACCTGATGGATTGCACGTGAAAATCATGCAAAGCACAAAAGATATTGTAAAAGTCGGGAATTTATAGAATATTATGTTATTGCAGATTGCAGATTTGGGATTGAAATAGTTTCGCTTGAACATGCCATTTGTCGTCTTAACACTCGATAAGGAAAGCCGTACACCAGAGCCCACTTGAGGTCAATTGTGACCCACTACTTTTAGAGAAAAAAAAAATAAGTAAAGGCTTCGGAGTCGGACATTTCACGGAATGAATTTTTATTGCTTTTAAACCCCCAGCAATGTATTATTTGAGGTAATTCCCTATTTAAGACATTACGACAAAAAGGGGGCGGTAGTTTTCAACGGTCGCCTAAAGAGAGGTAGCAAAAGATCCTTTTGTAGTCCAAATGGTTTTAATTGCGATTATGATAACTTCCCGGCTGAAAAGGTGCTAGTCTTGAGACTCACCCTTGTCCCTTCGCGCAAAATGATTATTTAACCCTCATCGTACAAGACGAGGTCCAATCAGACCCCTGCTGGGGCCCGTTTCTCAAAAGTCCCGATAATTACGGGCCCGTAAAGCTGTTGTTGTCCACATGCAAGATAGAGGTTTCAATAGTTTTGCATCTAGCATGATAAAGCAGTCAGTTTCTGAAACAAAATGGAGTACTTTGCTAGCCAGGACCCGCGCTCTAATTCTCTATATTTTGATTTGAATACTTAATTTCGGGCCCGAAAAATTACCGGGAATTTCGAGAAACTGGTCCCAGTCGATGATCGAGAATCACCATGGCTGACATATGGTTGGGGAATGTTTTTGAGATGTAAAAGCAGCTTTAAATGCATAAGTTAACTTTTAAATTCCAGACGAATACTTAAACATGGCTCTCATTTTTCTACTGTGGTACAAAGAGACCCCAACTGAATCAAAAACAACAGTAACAGGAATAGCAACAAAAACAAACAAACAAACAAAACAACAAGCAACAAAACAAATACATCTATGCATCTTATACCACAGTTAATATTTTAAAAACTCCATAATTTTGGCGGTTATGGGGTCCGTTTGGACCCTGGCTGGTATGATTTGTATGCAAAATAAGTAGTTAGGACGAGGGTTACGGCTGAAATTGCTCCATTTCTCGTCGACCGCAAAGAGACCTCTCGATGTAACTGCAACATCTTACGTCGAGCTGGCCGATTTGGCCTATAGTTTTCCTGAAGATTCAACTGACCGTACCCGCTTCCGTCTATCTTGGGTTACTATGGAGGAAATACTAAAGACCATGAAGACCCTAAAATATGACTGTTCTTCGGGTCCTGACCAAATCCCAACTAAATCTGTCAAACTAGTGGCTGAGTATCTGGCAGAACCTCTGACTATTGTAAATGGCTGTATAATTAATGCATACTTTCCGAAGTTATGGAACATCGCCAGAGTCTCGACCATACCCGAGGTAGACAACCCAATAACCAACGATCAATTCAGGCCTATCTCGACTACTAGTGTTATCTAGTCAGGTGTTTGGAAAACTTGTTGGCTTGCAGATGTCGGATTTCGCAGATGGCGCCTCTCTTCCTCACAACAGCATTTCCAGTTTCCGCAAAGGATGTTCGACCACAACTGTCCTCCTAGGTACAAGAGACGATATAAAGCGCGCCATGAAGAGGAAAGAGGTGATTGTTAGTTCTTGCTGATTTTTCTAAAGCTTTCGACACAGTATGCTTCAACAGGACCTTAAAGACACCGCATAAAGTGGATTTCTCTTCGGACTATCTAAGATGGCTATTGAGCTACCCATCTGGTCGAACACAGTTTGTGCGAATTGGTGATGTAAAATCATACCTTAAATCCTCTTAGTTTGGTATACCTCAAGGGTCTATCCTTGAACCTATCATGTTCAACTTGTATGTGTCAGATCTACCTGATAACCTCTATCCATCTTCAAGATGTTCCCAGTATGCAGACGATACATCCCTCTATAAACACACTGTGCTGTCGAGGAACTAGAATCAAGGGAGAATGATTCAAAATTCTCTCCCGCCAAACATGGACCTTGGTCTAAGGACTTTAACCTTGCCCTGAATCCTGTCAAAACAAAGTACCGGATTCTCTTCACGCAGCAGATGGCAAACTATCACAAGCTAGCCGACCACTCACTCAACTAAGCTGTCGAAATAAAACCTCTGGAACGTGTCGTCTATAAAAGGTTGCTTGGTGTACAAATTAACAGCAACCTCATCTGGGACGACCATATCAATCAGTTAGCCACTTCATGTTACGGTACCTTGGCCATGCTAAGAAAACTCAAGATCTTTACTAGCTCTAACGTACGAAAGCAACTTGTTAAATCTTTAATTACAACACGCCTTGACTTTAGCGACATGGTATTTTACCCGATCAGTGAAAACCTACTTACAAGGTTTCAGGGCATCCAGGTTTAAGCTGCATGCTTCATTACAGGTCGTTAGTCTGGTTGACCATATTGGAGCGACGTGACAGGCACCTACTTAAAGCAGCCCATAAGGCTTTGTACCATGAACACTGGGCCAAGAAATATCATACTAGAAACTATTAGCCCCTCTAGGACACTATTCTCTAGTGAGACAATAAACCTAGTGGTACCGCTGGTAACGAATACCTTCCAGGACTGTGCGTCTAAACTTTTCAACTCCCTACCTGCTCCAACCAAATCTTGTACAAATTTTTGGTCTTTTTCCAAACAGACCTTCAATATTTTAAAAGAGCGAAGTAAATTGTAGTAATGTAGTAGTTCTAAATACAGTCTTTAACCACAGTTTAGAAGTTAGTTTTTATTAAAATTAATTAATTATTATTTATTATTATTATTTTATACCCCACGTACATTTGTTAATGTATTTTTTATTTAATGATTTTTTAATGTATATGCACTTCATATTTTATAAGTAGATGTAGAACCATTTTTTTATAGAAATACTGTGAATAAACCATTATTATCATTATTATTATCATTATTATTATTATTATTATTATTATTATTATTATTATTATTATAATTTTTGCGATGAAGCGAGATGAGAACTGTCGCCCCCTTTTTTATTAGTGTTTTTACTCGTTATGGCTACAAGAAAAATATATTTATGGAAGAGCACCAAAGACAATTTGTTATGGGAGCCCAAGAAATAAATTTCACATTTCACAGGAACTGAGAAAACATAGGTAAAATCGTCATGCGAAAGATTTTGTTTTGTGAGATTTGAAGCTTTTAAAGTTTGTTTCCTCGGGCTCCCATAAGAACCTTTTTTTGGAGTTATTTCATACAACTTATTACCGCATTTTTAGCCCTCGAAAAGTGTAAAAATAAATAGTACAAGGTTTTTGTCCCCTGAAAATAAAAATTACTCAATTTCCTAATGGATTCAGTCTTAAAATACAAACTGTTAAAAATTTGAATTACTAATTGCTAAGACAACAATAACAACAACTGTATTTATTAGACTATGAATTAGACGAGGAGAAGTATCTACCGACAAGTAGCAATATCTAATCGAGGCGGATAGTTAGAACAAACAAAAATTGGTACCAAATACAAAGATTGTATAAAAAGTTACACTTATTATATATAGGCAATGTGCGCATCAAAGTTGAACCTGTTACCAAGTGTGACACTTAATAACTTAATGGGAACAATCAGCTTATCCGCACCTCTGATAGTTACACAATGATTAGTGTTTCCTAGTACAAGAGCCTGATACGTCTCAGGATTCGTCCTTATTCCGTTTTGCTTAAACCAGTGCAGTGTGGTGGCTAATTCCCTATTTATATCCTCCTCAACAATTTGGGGATATTCGAATCAGAAGTGTGAATTTTGCTGCCGTGCGTATAATTCATAAGCTTGCACATCTCGATAGCAAATTTGAGATCATTCATAAAAATGTTAAATAACAGGGGTCCAAGATTAGACTTCTTTGAGACCCTAGCTACCACACCCGTCCATGCCGAAAAGGTGTCGCTCAGCTTCACAAGTCAATACCGTGATGATAAATAGCTGTGACATACTTAAACTTAAAATTGTGAATTGTAAATAATATTTTTTCTTTTTTTTATGTGCTTACTATTATTACTATTATTTTAATTATTTCTTATAATGCATTCCATGTATATATATATTTCTATATTATTTTCATGTAGTGTCAGCTCGAAGATATTAACTTGTTAGCTACTCTAAAATTCGAGTATAAATAAAGTTTTATGTTTATGTTTATGTATGTTTCGTCCATGCCATAGAACCTGAGTTTTTTAGAACAGTCCGTGTGGTAGGCAGTCATTTGCTATCGCGTTCTGCCTTCCAGTGTTCTGTAAGCGTTAATAGCGCAACAGCCATGAAATTTTCGACGGGCAAACACGAAATCGTGAAAGATAGGCTCAAAATATTTCCTTTAATGCTAAAAGTTGCTGAAAACTTGCGTGAAACTTTATTTCGGAGTGTTGAATTTATAAGAGGTCACTTGAGACGTGACGTCATAATGATATTCAAAAGAAAATTCTGAATGAGGTAGGAATGGTTGATTAGAGCTAAGTCTGAATCATGCGTAAATTATTTGGTTTGCCTTACAAAGATTTTCTGTAGCCGAAATGGAATAAAATTCTGTTTTATTCAAAAGATATTAACAGATGAAAAGTGCCACGCGACTTGATTTGCTCAATTATTAATTCAGTGAAAATGAGAGAAGAACATAAGAAGAACACTGTGGGTGTGTTCCTTTCGGTGAATCCAAAAACGGATTTTAGATCTAAGAACGGATTTCGCGTTCCTTTCGGCAAATCCAAATCCAGATTTTTGATCTGGTGAATCCTTTTTGAAAAAGGATTCATTGGATTTGAAATCCGAAGAATCCAAATCCAGATTAACGGATTAGTGATCTACGCTGTTCCATTCACAGTGGATCCGAAATTAGTCAGATGATCCAGCGGTATTTCCAGTTGAAGTATTCCCATAGAGGCCGTAGAGTTTCCTCGTTGCTGTCATTTGCCGCAAAACATCTGAAAACATTAGAAGATTGTTCCTGGTACATTAAAATATGCATATACTAACCATTTGTCTCTAAAGATTGCTTGAAATCAGAAATAAGTAAAAGTAACAAATGAACTGCTATCTAACTACAAACTCGCTTGTAGACGCGACAGGTACTCGATCGTCTTACATAAAAAAATCCGAGCTATGGAAGTGGATCAAACTGGCCGACATGCTTTAGATAATT